ATTAAAAAATGTTTTTTGGTACCAGGGATTAAACCCGGGGGCACTTAACCACTGAGCCACTTTTTATTTTTTTATTTTGAGACAGGGTCTTGCTAAGCAGCTGAGGGCCTAGCTAAATTGCTGAGGCCTCAGATCCTCCTGCCTCAGTCTCCCGAGTCACTGGGATTACAGGTGTGTGCCATTGTGCCCAGCTTGATGGGCTCTTTTCCTCTTAACACTTCAAATATCTCATTCCTTCCACCTGCTTCCATATTCCTAAGAAGTCAGATGTAACTCTTTGTTCTTCTGCAGATAGGGCGTTTTTTTCCTCTGGCTTCTTTTAAGAATTTTTATTTAATTTTGATTTTCTGCAGTCGAATATGATGTGACTTGCTCTGTCTTTGGGGTACTTATCTTATCTGATGTTCTGAGCCTCCTGGACCTGTGGTTTGGTGTCTGGCATTAATCTGGGAAAGTATTTCTTCTGTTCCTTCCTCCCTTCTCCTTATAGCATCTCATTAGTGTTTATGTTAATTCATTTGTAGTTGTTCCACAGTTCTTAGATATTGTTTCTTTTTTCTTTGTCTTTCTTTTTCAGTTTCTTTTTCTCTTTGCTTTTCTGTCTTAGCAGCTTCTGTTGACATCTCTCAAGTCAGCAGATACTTCATCTGTGTCTAGTTTATTAATGAGGCCATCAAAGGTATTCTTACATTTGGGTTGTAGCTTTTTGATTTCCAGCATTTATTATACTTTTTTTCTTCCATTTTTTCCCTATTTACATTACTCATCTTTTCTTGCATGATGTATACTTCTTCCTCCCTATAAGAGCCCTGTGCGTCTTAATCATACTATTAGTTGTTTTACATTTCTGCTCTGACAATCCAACATCCCTATCATTTCTGAGTCTGGTTCTGAGGCTTGTTAAGTCTCTACAAACTGTGGAGTTTTGCTACTTAGTATACATTATTATTTATTCATTTATTTTTTAGTGGTGGGCATGCTATACTGAGTGAAAGGAATTCTGGTATGTAGGGCTTTAGTGATATGGTGATCAGATGTCAGAAAGAGTTCTCTAGTCCTATGGTGAGGTCTCCATCTTTTGGGGGCCTCTGCCTGGGCTGTGAATTTCAATAGTGCTTCTCAGGTTTCTTCTCTCTGCCAGGCAGGACAAGAGGGCCAAAGGGGGCTGGAGTTGACTATTTTTCTTCACCTGTAGAAGGCTCGAGAAAATTGAAGCTGGGAATTCCCCTCCCTCAGGTTACTGAGGTTCTAATCAAATGCCAGGTGGCCTGACTAAGGGCAGGTCTTATTAAAAGGAGTAGCAGTATCTGGTGTTTTTCAAAATGGTTACTTCGGCCTGCCAGAAAGAAGCACAGGGGATTTGTCTCCATCTTCACTATGAGACCTACTAGGGCTCCTGGAGGTAAAACTCACAGAAGTGTGAGGGCCCCCACGGATGTCCCCCCTGGAGTTTATAACCCTCCTACATGTCCTCTGAGAGCCTCCAGCAGTTCATCAATCCCAGCTTCCTCCCAGCGCTGGCTCCTGCGCTTCGACTCAGGTATGTTGTCATTCTGTGTCCACCTGACTCTCTCCACTTTCAGTGGCAGCAATTTGCCCTGTGACCATGATTCTCTAATAGAACAGCTGTGGATTTTCCAGTTTGTTCAGTTTATTAGCACTCCTTCCAAGCTCTTTTGCATGCTGGAACAGAGAACAGACGCCTTTTCCTTTGTCTAAAGTGATGAAGATATTTTTTGGTCCAGCGTGGAATTTGGTGAAAATGTCTATTTCCTAGTCACTGATGGTTATATTCCTTCCTCATCTTTTTTGGCTAGAATTATTTCTTCCCCAAATATTTCTTAGCTGTTAACATTTTAATTCTTCTTTTCGGGGACTTTCATCAATTCCACTGTCTTTCTCAGAGCACTAATGACAGGTGCTGCCCATGTTTTGTGTTAACAACATTTAAACAAAGACATGCTGTTTAAGTGGTCTGTGGTCTGTTGTTCCTGATGTCCTGCCTGCGGGTCTCACTTTGTGAGCTGAGTTGTTACAGCTGCACTTTATGCTGATGGTATCAGGAAAACAGCTTACAGAGAACATTGGGCAATAAGTGACAACTCCGAGCTGCATTTACAGATCTAGTTCTCCCTACACTTTTTACCCACGTTGAAACTTACCAATGTTTTGTATATTTTATGGTCCATTCACATTACTTTTATAATTATAATTACTTTTTTACAATCACTGGCTTTATTCTGTTTAATTGGTCTTGGTAGATTCTGGTAATATGGTTCTGAAAGTTTTCCAAATGCTTCTACTGTGCAACCAAGGTTGAAACCTGTCTTTTACAAGGACTAGCAAACTATTTTTTTTTGTGTGTGTGAAGGGTCAGATAATAATTGTGTTAGGCTTTGAAGATAAGCAAGTGAGCACAGTGGTGTTTCAAAAAAGCTTCATTTCTAGATACTGAAATTTGAATTCATATAATTTAATGTATCAGAAAATATTATTTGTATTTTTTTCAAATATTTAAAAATGTGAAACCATTCTTGTCTTTCTGGTGTACAAAAACAGGTTGAAAGAGGAATTTGGCAGGTGGGCTATAGTTTTTATGTGCTGGTTTATAGTTTATCTGCTTTCTTGCTTCAATTTGGTTCCATAAGATAAAATGATTTCTTTTATGGTCACTGATATAACTAAAAAAATTTTTTTAAAATGTTAGGTAGATAAAATATCTTTATTTTTTATGTGGTGCTGAGGATTGAACCCAGGACCTCAGAGTGCAAGGCAAGCATTCTACCACTGAGCTACAATCTCAGCCCAGTCACTGATAACATTTAAGTCCTACCACGGATTCCTTATTGTGTTTAAAAAAAAAAAAAAATCGGGACATTTTAAAACATGTCAATGCATGTCCTAAGTACTTGTAGATGTTGTAGTATCTGGAATGCTTTTCTCTATATGTGGCTTAAAACAGTGTGAAAGTTGTCATTAAAATACAGATAGTTGTGTGGTTAATGCAACTTCTCTACAGTGTTATTGCATTTTATATCATTGTCTTTATATTGTATTATTTTCATTACCAGTTATAAGTGATACCTCTCATGTTGCAAAATGACTATAATAGCCTCAGGCATCACATGCAGACACTTAACATTCAGCAAAAAGCAAGAGCATGTTCTTCTATGTGTTTATTCTTGAATAGTTAGGCAAACTTTTCTAGAAAAATCCTCCTCCTTTGAATATCTTCCCTTAGATCCCAAGTCCACATTGGTCCCAGTTGAAGAATTTGAAATCATCATATTAACAATTATGCTGCACCCCTGATGTTTAGACAGACCTAGCCTGCCTTAGGCAGGGAGTTTTAGAATCCCAGAACCAAGCCAGGGTTCTAACAGCAAGGAAGAAGAAGAAATGGCAATTGAGAATCAATAATCTCACACAGAACTAGATTCTTAGATAGAAAAAAAAAAATCTAGCTAGGTGAAGTGGTGCATGCTTGGGAGGCTGAGACAAGAGGATCACAAGTTTAAAGCCAGCCTCAGCAATTTAGGAAGGCTCTGAGCAAGACTATCTCAAAATAAAAATAATTTTAAAAAAGACTGGGGTTGTGGCTCAGTGGTTGAACACCTCTGGGTTTAATCCCCAGTCCCAAAACAAAACAAACGAATAAACAAAACCTAAAGGATGTGTTTGAGCTTCTCATTTCCATTTGTTTATTTCCCTTAAAGAACTTAGAGAATTGTTCAGTACAATTTCCCTAAAAGAAACTTTATTGATTTTTTTTTCACTAAATAGGTTATATTTTGCTCAAAGATACAACCATTATTTCTATCAGATTACACTTAAAAAGAAATATATCCCATTTTTGCTTACTTTGTTGGTTTCCTAAGTTTATAAATGTTGCATATCTAGCCTAAAAAAAAGTTCATGTGAAAAAGTTAGAAAACACTATTTTTTTCATCATCTGAAATCATCAGTGTTGTCTAGTATGCATTTTATATTGTAAAAACAAATATTGTGTTCAAAAATTGTGGTATTAAATAAGAATTATACATGACATCCCTAGCCTCTCTTCCCTGCCACCTCTCTGGGTTGTTGCTTTTGTTGTTGAAGAGCTAGGCATTAAACCTAGGGCCTCACACATGCTGTCCAAGTGCTTTACCACTGAGCCACATCCCTAGCCACTTTAATCAAATTTTTTAGACAAGTCCCTACTAAGTTGCTGAACTTGGGATCCTCCGGCCTCAGCCTCTGAGTAGCTGGAATCACAGGTGTGACCAATGACTATCATGATTATTTTGATACATTGTCTCAAGTGGTAATACCCACCTCAACCTCCCCATGTGAAAATCACTGAGGGAGATTTCTATCAATTCTAAGCTCATCTGAACCTGCCTGGAGGAAAGCCTGACCCCCCCCAGCATGGCTGAAATTCCACCTGCTTGATGTTCTTGAGGGAAACAAACGTCAAGCACAGAGGCAGCTGCTTCTGTTTAGGACAGACGGGTCAGGCTTCTGCTCCTTGATCTGCCTTTTAACATTGTGTGATGTTACACACTCAGCTCTAATTTTGATGTGTATAAAGCCAGAGTTTGAATAATGTGTTTTGTAAGGTCTCTGTTTTTCTTTACCATGTGACCCCAAATTTTGACCTTTATTTTCAATGTTAAAACTGATCTACAGTGTTGCTGCTGCTTAGTGAAGGCTGCAAATATAGTGGTGCTATATACTAAGATAATGATTAAAAAGTGATGTAAGATAATGTGCTGGAGCAGCAACTGTCTCAGCTGCACTTTCAGACAGCCCACAATGTTCTAGTGTGAGACTTTCCTGTGTGACTAAGCCAAATCCTTTGCCTATTCTAGGAAGCCAATCAAAAGACAAGTAAGAATCATACTACATAGGAGGTAACTTTAGAGAGCTTTATTGTATTTTAACTAAAATATTTGTAAACATCTGTACTTTCATTGCTAACATTGAAATATATTTCATTATTTACAACACTACCCCCGCAGCTCTAGAGATGTCTTTTATTCCTTCTTGAACTCTCTATGCATCCTGAAACATTCACACAGAAGTGACACCATGAGATCCCGAAAAACTGATGCAGGTTAAAAAGGTGTATTTGGTGGCAAAAGCAGTTTTCCTTGGCTGGTCCAGTATTCTTTTTCCTTGCCTGTGCTCACTAGTGATTGGACTCCTCCCCCCACTTCCATCCCAGGGGCGGGTGTTCTGCACTTTGTGGGGAGCCTGGTCATCTTTAGTCATATGGGGGAACTTTTCCCTAAGGAACTTGAACGCAGGTTACCTGATGGACACTTGTCAAGCTTGCCCCTTAGCCTAAGGAGCGTGACTATGAACAGCAGCTTCTTGGGTCTGGCTGCCCTTCCCTCTGGGTCCTCTACTTTTGCTCATCCAGTCCAGGTGACCCTTCTTAACACCGAAGGTCCGTGTCCAGGGCCTCTTCCCCAGGAGGATTCCTGGTGGCCTCTTCGTAGGAGGGCGGCAAGCACACGGAGAGGAGGGGCCCTCCTGGACGCAGGGGCGAGTAGGGGATCTCCTGCTCGCTGCCCCAGGGCAAGCCGGGCAGGAAGTCGGGCCCGGCTCCCGCAGGAGGGCGCTCGGGGAGGTCGATGCTGAACACCTGGCCCTGGGCCCGCGGGGCCTGGCAGCGGCGGTACAGGAACAGCAGCAGAAAGGCCAGGAAGAGCAGGACGGTGGCGGGGAGGAGGATGCACAGGAAGGGCTCCACGTCGGCTTGGGCGGAGCTGGCCTTCTGGGTGCCCTGGAGGTGGGGAAGGAAACTGGGTCAGCAGATGGGGGAGGGCGGGCTCTGGCCCTGACACCCCTTTTAAGGTCTTCTCCTGTTAATGTCGCTGCAGAGTCTCAAAATCACTACAGTCAGTCATTGCGCCACTGAGCTTGACCCCATGTGAAATATAAAGCAAATTTACACGAGAAGGTGTGAACTCAGAAGGTCAAAAACTGCATACAGTGTTTCCACCAAAGAAAAAATAACTAGAATGAAATTTAGTTGGCAATTCTCCCTCTCCTTCTTATAATGGGAACTCCTTACCATTTCTGTACTTATTTTATTTAGAATTAGACCAATGTTTGATTGCCACAAAAGGATCACATGAAACTTAAACATTTTTAATTCTGAAACGAAATGTCATGTGGTTATATGATCCTCCCACAAATAATGTTTGAATTCTCATTTGGTGGCACTTATGAATGAGATTGTTAAATCCTTTAAATTTGATGTTGTGATATTTACGAGGTAGATTCAGAAAGCTTTGAAATTTTAAAGACAAAGAATTACAGGTGATTCTTAGGCAACCTAAAAGGTATTAGCTCACAAAGTAACAGTGGTTCCTCATGGAGTAATAATATAGGCATGAATTGATGTTTCAATTGCAGGGTAGGAAAGCAATGTGAAAAAAAATCGTTCTAATTGTATATGCCTTTTTAAAAAAAATTTCTTGGCAACAGGGATTGAATCCAGGTGCACTTAAACACTGAGCTGTATCCCCAGCCATTTTAAAAATATTTTATTTTGAGACAGGTCTCACTAAGTTGCTTAGGGCCTCACCAAATTGCTGAGGCTGGCTTTGAACTTGTAATCCTCCTGCCTCAGCCTCCTGAGCCACTGGGATTACAGGCATGTGCCACAGTGCCTGGCTTATGTATTGCTAGGACAATATTAATACAGCCATTAAGAAAAATGAAGTATTAAAAAGTTTTTCTATTATATGAAGCATATAGTAACAAATGTAGATGTTAATATTCACTACTACAGAGAAAAGGAAATCAATTTAAAGGCCCATAATTGTATTTAAAATAAGAAAACAAAAAGCTCTTTATCTTATTATAAATAATATAAAATAATGTGTATAAGAGCTGGGTTTCTTTGCCTTGATTTTGGTGGAAAGGACAAATGTTTTGCTGGTCACAACTCCTTAAGCCATTTCCTTATCTACCAAAGTGTGATCTTTTAAAAATTCCTATAGACTTTACAACTATGTTGTTTTCATTCAAAATTAGATGCTTTAAAAAGATGTATTCTGCCAGATATTTTGTTCTTGGTGAGATATGATTAAGGTATTCTAGCTTAAAAACAACATCAAAATTAAAAGTTTTCCTGATAAGCAGAGCATCTGTGATCTTTGGGGTTTGGCAGCTCTGGCTTTGAATTCTGAAGACCTTCTGACACCTCTGTGACATGGAGGTCACCTGCCAACTCTGGGCTTGGGTTTTCCTCTTTATTAAATGAAAATAATAACATCTATTTTTGAGGATTAGCATGAGAATTGAGTGAATTAATTGGTGTAAAATGCCTGGTAAATAACATGTATTTTTATGTCCATGTCTCAGTGACTCAAATTTTCAGATTTACTAAAAGTAAAATACTAAATCAGAAGAAATCTAGAAATGTTTTGATAAGACTAGAATATTGGAGTATAGAATCTGACATTACTGAATTTATATTTTAGTAATATATTTTCAAAAATATTTTGTGATATATTTTATGTGTGGATTTAAGTTTTATTTCTAGACTAAAGTTTTTTACTGTTTTTCCACGTTTAGTTTAATATCAGAATAATTTACTTAAAATCTATTGTGACATAATAAGGGACTTTGATTAGAAAAGCATAAGGGTAGATAAAACTAAAAATAAATTTATTATAAAAAATTGAATTGAAGTCAAGAGATAAAATAATTTATTTTCTCCCTCTAGATGAATCATTAACTGTTAAAACCATTCCCTTTTAAAGCAATAGCTCTTCAAATCCAGTAAACATAGATTATTTTCACAATTTATTTTTTTCCTTTATATCAATAATACAGATAATAATAGCTTCTTATCAGTGTTGCCATCAAATTTAAAATTCCCTATTATATCCCCTAAGTTCAATATGCATAGATCATTAAGTTACTTAATATTCTATTTAAAAGGATTTATGTACAAGTAGACTCTGTTATTTACAACTACACTACTATGGTATGATCAATATTAGTTGAAAAAATTTGGGAAAGAAGAAATACCACAGAGCCTGCTGAACCAATACTTCCATTGGTTGAGTTAAATTTGTCCAAATACCAAGTCTTTTTATCTAATCCAGACAACTGGGATAATTTTTTTAAGAAAAATAACTCTTCTTTTTTCCTGGTAAAGAAATTTCAGAGCTATAGAACACACTTATTTTAGTATACTTAATTTGTTTATTTAATTATTCCTCATATTAGTTAAAATGGCTGGAATTTTTTAAATTCAGAAGTGATATCTTTTCTAGTCAAATGTTCTAATGTGTTCACTAGCCTCAAAGTTGTCTTTTAAGTTTTAAAGTTTTTCTAATGTGTGTATTACTCAAGGGCTTTATCATTCAGGCAATATTTTAGAGAAATATTCAATAAAAGGTGTAACTGCTAGAGGACATTTTTTTTTTCTGTAAAAGTTGGTTTTAGAGATTTTAAATACCAATCTTACAAGTTGATTTTCTAGAAAACAAGAAAATAGGTTTATTTTCTTCTTTTTGTGTGATCAGCAGGGTCATCCATTTCTCCTCTAGTTATAAAAGTTCTTTGATTTTAGTTGCTATGAATATTTTTCTGTAATGCTGCCTTACAAGGAGGCTCCTTTGGTGATCTAGCACACAAGTCAGAATAGCAGGTGCATTTCTTAGTGACTAACTTCCTTAACCCCCTGCTCGCCTTCCTGCAGAAAGATGCTTGGTTTCTGCAAACTCCTAAAAATAGGGATTGTTCTCCAGTCAAGAATGAAAGGAAGCCTCTTCTTTCTGTATACAGACATTGCTTACTGAGCAAAGAACATAGTTATAATTGAAGGCATAAAAATTTGTCAAAAACCTCTACCCTCAGGAACTGACATATTTGATATATCAAATAGTGTTAGATACATTTGTGCCAAGTTTTACTTATCATTGTTTAAAAAAAAGGCAACTTTCAAGTTACTGCCTTCAGACCATGCCAGTCAGCAAACTCATTTTTTTTATTATATCCATAATGCAAAGTGTTGCCACTAAGTTATAAGAACCTAAAAAATATAGGCATTGTTAATTTAGAAACTATCCAAGAAGCTTTGGGAGAAGAAGCTGAAGCCATAGACTACAGACCTGCAGCTGGGTTTCCAGAAGAGGCAGGCTTGGTTCACTGGTTAGCCACTCGTATGTCCCCCGGCCAGCGTGTCCAAACTTCCTCCAGCTGCTGCTCAGCAATCCCCTCATGGTGTCACCCAGCTGATGACCCGGTCTCCTTTCCACCCTGCTGCCTGGATTTCTACAGTGCTGCTTGCTCTTGGCCTGGATCCAGGATAGATGTGTGCGGCCGATGGCTTTTGGTAAACTCGTCTTCTGATGAGTGGCATCAGAGAAAAGAAACCAACCAGAGATACCTTTCAGGACTGACTGCATTTATATTCAGTGCCTCTGGGTTTGTTTGTGGCCTTTATCACTAGAAGGATTGGCATCAAATATCAGCTATGGAATAGATTTCAGGTGGGAGAGTTTTCTGCATTAGCATTAATATAGTGCAAACAAAGTCGTGGTGAATACAGAGCTGCTATATTTAGATGTAATTAAGACCCTCTCCCTTCCCTTACCAAACCCCTCTCTGGGGACATCTGATCAAGAAAAGCTACCTAGGCTGAATTCTCTTTAATTATTTCTGGGTTTTATAGTACAAAACGAAGGGGTACTTGATAGAGAAGCAAAGACCCATTAATAATATTTTACTGAATTATTTAGATGAAAGTTGCCTAATGATAAAGTTGTACACAAGCCAGACGGACAATAGCTTAGACTGTTAGATGGAAAGTTTGCTGATTTCAATTTTTTTAAATCAAATTACCAGTACCTAAATAATCTCTCTACGGGTTTTCTTGTGAACTTTATACAATTATTGCTATCACACTTAAAAACTTTGATTTGAACTTGATTTGCATGTTCACTGAATTAACTTGGGGATATTTAATTCAACATATGTGTTATTTAACATTTAAGACAATGTGTTAGTTCATTTTGTGCTACTAGAGTGGAATACCCGAGATGGGTAATTTATAAATAATAGAATTTCCTTTTTCACCATCTGGGAACCTGTGGAAAGCTGAGTGAAGCCTCTTTCAGGAGGGCCTAAATTGTAACAGGGAGATCCTGGGGGATTCTCCTTATCTCCTAAAGGCCACACCTCTTAAGATTATCATGTTGGCAACACCTATGTTTTGAAGGGGATGCATTCAAATCATAGCAGACATAATGCTGAAATCCTTCTTTTAGTGAAGTAAACCTCAGCTTCAAAGATTTACTCAAAGTGTTAGAACTCAAAGTTGCAGCTACACACATCCTCACTAAACACCATTTCCACCCAAGTGATTGCCATAATGCTGAAATGAAATTTCTTAATTGGGATCCCCTTTCTTCTTCTCTCACCCAAGACTATCATCTACTGGTCAATAGTGGATGATCTCAGGGGGTGGTCAATGCTAAATTTTGTAGATAGGCACAAATTTCTCAAGAGTATCTATAGTGTTCATACCTTTTCAAAGACATTTGATAGAATTTGATGATTTGTCCAACTTGTTTGTGGTAAAAGTTTTTGCTAGGTTTCCAATGATAAGTATGCCCCAATCAATATCCCAGCATAGAATCCCTTTTCATTTCATCTTTTCTTGCTTTTGGTGGAGTGAGCTGGTTTTGTGAGTTCAGTTCAAATATTGCCTTTCTTTGATGTGTTTCTTTTTAGTAAATCCTGAATTCTCACCTGTGAGACCACACAAGTACCTGGCAAACACTACAATATTTTGCTTTCTTCCATGCCAATAGCTTTCCAATACTGTGGACTCAACATGGACCATCCTTCTCCACTTTATCTACTTATTGAGATACCCTCATTTCCTTGAGAAGCAAATTGGAAGTCTGGATTAAAAGCATTAACTATGCATCTGTAACACTGATCTTCCTCCTGCAGAGAACAATTCAGACATGTTTCCTGCTTTTGTGGATCTATTTGTTTGTCAAGAGAAGCAAACAAAATATATATCAGAAGATGATAAATATGGGGAGAAAAACAAGAGAAGGGGCAGAGCCAAGGCTGAAGGGAGGGGGCACTGTGAAAGTGGGCAGTTAATTAGGATCTCACAGGGGAAGTAGTATTTGAGCAAAGAGGGAGGCAAGGTACTCGACCACGAAGCTATTGCATGGAAAGACATCATGCACCAAGGGGAATGCCGGTGAGGGGCCCAAGGCAGGCACATGCCTGGTGACTTCACTCAGTGACCAGCAGCCCAGGGTGGCTGGAGCAGTGCTTTTAAAGTGAGCTTGGAGAAATGGAGGAGATGAGGTCAGAGAGGTTATGAGGAGGGAGGGAAGGCAGCAAAGGGTCTGAGTTTATAGAGCTTTGTAAGTATTTTGGCTTTTACTCTAAGTGAAACGGAGGAGCCATATAAAATTTTGAGCAGAGTGACAAGATCTAGTGACTATTTTAAAAGGACCACACAGGTCTCGGTTTTCTGAATAGATATAAGATCAAAGGCAAAAGCAGATCAGATAGGAGGTTTTCTTTTTGTTTAGTTTTAATATTCAAAGGAGAAATAATGGACAGGAGGAAGAGCTTTGGAGGTGGAGATTCTGGATTCTAGCTATATTTTAGGAGTATAGTCAACCGGATTTCTTAAAGAACTGAAGATGGTGCAAGGTAAGAAAGATTTAGAAGGATTCCAAGGGTTTTGGTTTGAGCAACTGGGATGACTACTGTCATTTACAGAGAGAATTGAGGGTAGGGTAGGGTTTTGCTTTTAAGGCAGGAAGAGTAAAGATCAGGAGTTGAGTTCTGGAGGGAGGAAGTTTGTGATGTGTTTGAGTTGAAAGTAAAGCACTAAAGAGGAGTCACTAACTGTAACTCATTGTCCAGGAGATGATATTTAAACCTGAGAGACATAATGAGGTCCTCAAGGAAATAAGTGTCAACGGGATGAGGAGACAGTGAATTGGCAGTGAGCATGCACTGGAAGCCAAGTGAAGATGATGTTTCCAGAGGAGGGAATGATTGTCTACCTCAAAAGTCAACATATGGTCATGTAAGACGTTGAATGAAATTTAATGTTGATTTTTAACAAAATGTGTTGGGATGGAGATCACGGGTTATTTGGACAAGACCAGTTTTGAAGGAATGATTGGGAACAAACTGATTGGAATGGTTTAAGAGAAAAAGAGAGAAGAATTGGAGATAGTGAATATAAACAACTCTTGAATTAATCTGCTTAAAAGGGTAGCAGAGAAATAGTGCAGTAGCTGGACAGAGAAATAGTCAGCAGAGTTGATACATACATATATATATATATGTATGTATGTGTGTGTGTGTATGTATGTGTGTGTGTATACATGTGTATGTGTGTGTGTGTGTGTGAATCTGTAATATGTATATGGGGTAAAAATGGGAGTTCATAATCCGCTTGAATCAAATGTATGAAATATGTCAAGAGCTTTGTAATGTTTTGAACAACTAATAATAAAAAAATTAAAGTATATATATATATAATTTTGTAGATACACAATACCTTTATTTTATTTATTTTTATGTGGTGCTGAGGATCAAACCCAGTACCTCACCTGTGTGAGGTGAGTGCTCTACCACTGAGCCACAACTCGGGCCCATATATTTCTATTTTTTTTTTTTGTGTGTGTGGTGCTGGGAATCAAACCCCAGGGCCATGTCCATGCTAGACAAGCACTCCACCACTGAGCCACACCCCAGCCCTCAAGAAGGTTTTGTTCTCAGATCAAGTTAATAGACTATAGGGAAAACCCTCAGGGATTCCACTTCTAGAAATTCTTCCTAATGAAATAATCTGCTGAGTACTCAAAGATGGAATCTGTGTTTAAAGACTGAATCTTCAAGAAATGGAGGTTGTATATTGTTGTAAGATTGTTTGAAGATATTTTAAATGTCCATAATAATAAACAACTAAAAATTTTTAAAATGTCCATAAAATGATAAGATAGATATAAACATGTTCATAACATATCAGGCACTTGCCAGAAAACTACAAAAATGTGCATGTCTCTGCATATAGGAAAAAAAAAAGTCAATGTTGACTGGGAGTGTAGCTTGGTTGTGGAGTATGTGCTTAGCAGTGTGTGAGGCTCTGGGTTCAATCCCCAAGACTGCCAAAAACAACAACAACAAACAAAACAAAACAACAACAAAAAAAAAACGAAAGAAAACAAAGAGCCAATGTTAACAATGTTGTTTTTTCCTAAGGTAGAATTATAGGTGGATTTTAAAAAATAGGAGTATGATTCTCTTTGCTGATCCACAGCTTGTAATTTTTCCATGAATATGCTAATATAAATAAGAGAATAATTTCACGATTTACCATCCTTGAAGGTCCACATAAAGCCACGATGGGGTAACATTCTATAATTTCTTGTTTTGAACCTGAATTAGAATCAATCACTATTTCCTCTGCATTCCAATAATGAGCTGATTAATCTAATATTATTGCACTTATTTGAGTCAGCACTGTATTATTTCAAAAGTAAACTACAGCCAGGCACAATGGTATACATCTATATATAATCCCAGTGACTTGGGAGGCTGAGGCAGGAGGATTGCAAGTTTGAGGACAGCCTGGGCAAATTGGTGAGACCCTCAACAATTTAGCAAGACCTTGTCTCAAAATAAAGGCCTGGAGACATAGTTCAGTGGTAAAGGGTCCCTGGGTTCGCTCCTAATATCAAAAATAAAAATAAATTACAGGATTATTCATTTAGAGAGAGGCTTACTGAGGAGTTGCCTCAATGGTCTCTGCTATAAATTGCAACTTGGTGAGACATTCTTGGCCTACAGAGCCAGCCAATAACCTGGATTTATTGTAACCTCTTATAGATATGGTATTGTATTTCAACTCTAAAATATGTGTGGATTTTAATTATCAGTCTTTCTGAATTTATCTCCACAGCATGTGCTTTTTATTTTTTTCACATTAAAAGGAAGAATATATTCTATTTCCATCAGTTTTTCTAATGGTCTCACATTCTTTTATTCTGAATTTTTATAGTTTCATATTAATTATAAACTCTGACTATGATTAATCAAAAATTATATGAAATACCTCTGAAACTTCTATAGGAGTTTCAGAATAAAATTTCTTACATTTTCAATTTAATTATTTTACTTCTCTCTTTTTTGAAATTAGTTGAAGTCTTCATTCATTTGGCGATTTTTTTAAAAAAAAAATTCTTTGAACTCAACACAGATGATTTGCTATTAGAATTTCAAGAACTGATATTTCCAGATTTTCTGGTTTATTGGCTGTGGATGAGTTGGGTAGGGGAGTTTGTAGTAT